TAAAAAAAAAAACATTTTATCTTATAAAAAATCTATAAAAAATAAACCTACAAAATTAAGAAGAAGAAAAAATGATATTTTATATTTAAAAATAATATTAAGTATTTGAAACTTTAATATTAAAATTTACTAAAAAAACCTTTGTTGATATTTATTAACTAATATCAAATAAAATATTATTGATTAACATATTATAAGTTTAAACATATTATTTATTTTTATAATTGGTTATTTAGTTATTTATTTTATATAATAAAAGAATTTAGAAAAAGTTGAAAATTTAGGAAGAAAATCGAGAGTATATTAATAAAAAATTATAATATAATTGATATATACATGATAATATATACTAATATATAATAAATTTATAAAGATACAGATCGGAGCGGATATCCGACGTTGTCTAAAAACATATTTGTAATTTGTTTCGTTTTGTACGGATACTATATTTTGCTATTTGCTTTGCTCCGAAGCTTTACGGACATCCAAATTTTTTAAATCGAATCAAAGTAAATATCGGTTCGAAGCGGATATAACGGAAATTTTGTCCATCCATAATAAATATAACATATTAGAGAAGTAAAAATTAGATAGTGGTTGAAAGTGAAATGTCAATGAGTGAACGCCAACTGTACAGATTTGAGCCATGAGCTAAGGGAAGTACATTCATTCACCTTTTTGATAAGTAAGAAGTTGTCCGTATCACATAATTGTGAAATATATTATATAGTTGGTGGACTTTATTTAATCCTATCGCATGTGGTACATATAATACACCGATAATTATCATTCAATAATTTCTTCTCATGCTATCCACATTGAATCCATTATTCAATAATTCAACTTTAATAGGTATAATTGATGAAATTAACATATCACTTTCCGTGCAATAATTTGTAGGCTCCACGATCTGAATTATCCATTCTACTCTACACAATCACATCTTACACTTTTCTATTGCTTGCTCTGTACATGTTAAATTACTTAATTGTGATTATATGTACCTAATTATATGTGGACACAAATAAAAGAAAACAGAACTAATCTCATTCATTTTTCATCAGACCTATATATATTATAACTGAAATTTTAAATTTAAATGAAAATAAAATAGAAAAACTATAACCATGCATGCACTTTTAAACGATACAGCTTACAAATTATTTAGCTTCTTTTTTACTCTTTCTGTTTCAAAATAAATGTCATTTTAACACTTTTCACACAAATTAAGAAAAGTTTTAAAAGTTATGTTTTACCCTTTGTTCATATGCAAAATAATATTCTCTTTCTAATTAATACATTAATATAACAAGGTTAAAAGATGATTTTTGTTTAAAAAATTGTATTGGAAATACAAAACGACACTCTTTGTGAAACAAAAATAAAACTCTAAAACGACACTTATTTTGAAACGGAGAGAGTAATAAATTTGGGAAAATGTGATTTTTCATTACTAATACTACAGTTAATAAATTGGGTCGTTTCAATGAATCCAATACGTTGGCCTACCGGAAGAAGCAAACAAAATCCATAGAAATCACAATCAGGTGACTAAACGAAGAAAAATTGTATGGTGTATATTCGATTATGGGCCGAGCATGGTCCACGGTAGCCCGTAAATTCAACGAGCTTGTCCCATCTAGTCGCTGTTTTGGAATCGGGCCAATAAGAATCATCCAGACATTTCCAAGCAATGAATGTGTATTACCATTGGATTCTTTTTCTCACATATATGTATGCCAGGAACAATTTATGTGACGTAAATATAAATATAACATTTTGACTTTGTGGACCAAAAAAAAAGAAAGAAAAAGAGGCCAATGGTGGCAAGGCAAAAAAAACGGTGACAAAATACATGTTTTTTTTGAACATTTGCTTGACAAAATACATGTTCTAAACCTAACATCTTTTTCTTCTTCTTGTCATTAATACCTAACCTCTAAAGGTCTAAGAGATCGAACGTAACTGTGTGCTTCCTAAACGCATTATCTACTGGCTTGTTTCATTTTAAGTTTCTGAAAGAACCTTTTAATTTCAAAATGATTTCTTTGGATTGATATAAATTTGTCCTCATAAACTATCATGAGTTCAATATTGTTACATCTCGAAAACAAGAACGCATCTCAAGAACTAATACATAACTAAACTCTTTGGTTAACAAAAAAAAAAAAAAAACAACATAAGATTACTTAATTTCAGTGCCAAGCCAATACAATGTCCAGCAAAGCAGGCCTTATACTTTCTTTCATCACTCTCTTATACTCCGCCGTATCTCCACCGCTCTTATTCAACACCACCATGTGAAAGCTTGGCGCAATCTCAAACACCTCCGCTTCCACCACCACAACCTCAGCTGCGGCAGCCGCTTTTCTGCCTTCCATCCTCACCCTCCATCCATCGTCCTTCTTCCTCACTTTCATCTTAAGCTCCCTCCCTATCTCCACCAGCTTCTCCATGATGTCAGACGCCTCTCTGTTTGATGTAAACCTCATCTCCTCCTTCTCTTCTCCTTTCTCAAACAGTCCCGACAGATCAAACCCCGTGGACAGCGATATTATCTCAAAGGCGTTGAGGTTGATACACTGCTTCTTTTTCTTCTCTTCGGTAGCATCAACGTCCGTGTGCATCTTTGCCTCTGCGTCCTCCTCTATCTCCGCATCAACTGCATCTTTCTCCTCTTCCATGCCTTTCCGGAACCAGGAGCTCTGCATTATCTTCTCAGTTGATATCCTCGTGTTCGGGTTAGGATCCAAGATCCTCCTGAGCAGCCTCCTCGCCCCAGGAGCAAACCAGTTGGGGAACTTGAAGTCGGCTTTACCAATCTTCTTATAGAGCTCCATCAGATTGGAGTCACGGAAAGGGAGGTAGCCCGCGAGCAAGACGAACAAAATGACTCCACAAGACCACACATCCGCCTTGAACCCATCGTAGCCTTTCCGGCTTATGACCTCAGGTGCGACGTACGCAGGGGTCCCACAGGTGGTGTGCAGCAAGCCATCCTGGCGTCTGGAGTCGGCGAGAGCGCTGAGTCCAAAATCAGAGACCTTGAGGTTCCCTTGCTCATCCAACAAGAGGTTCTCGGGCTTGAGGTCCCTGTGGCAGACCCCGCGGCTGTGACAGTAGTCGACGGCGCGCACAAGCTGTTGAAAGAAGTTTCTTGCGACGCCTTCCCTCAGCTTTCCAGACGAGACTCTGTTGAAAAGCTCGCCGCCCTTGACTTGCTCCATGACGAAGTAGATTTTGGATTTGGTGGCCATCACTTCGTGAAGCTCGACAATGTTCGGATGAGTCAAAAGTCTCATGACGGAGATCTCTCGCTTAATCTGCTCGGTCATACCAACTTTGAGGATCCGGTCCTTGTCGAGGACCTTAACAGCCACACTATCACCGGTTTTCAAATTCCTGGCATGGTACACCTTCGCAAAGGTACCCTGGCCAAGGAGCCTCCCAACCTCATAACGGAGCATCAGCACAGTCCCATTTTGCTCCATGGACTCAAAGATTAGCAGCTAAATAAAGAAGATAAAACAAAAACCCTGAGGAAGACAGGTTGATGAACTCAAGGAAGCAAGAAGAGGGTCAACCGTCTTCGCATAGATCATGTTTCCATGTGGCGCTCTGAGAAGAAGAAGAAGGCTGGAAGGTGGGATGACCCTGTAGAGCACTTGTGTTCAGCAACAACAAGAATGGCCCAAAGGGAGAAGGGGCTTGTAGAGCCGTAGAGCACTTGTGTTCAGCTTTCAAATACATGTTTCTGCATTCCCTTTGCTTCCAGTTTTTGACTACCCCTTTGACGACCAGATCCTGAAACATATATATATATGCCCTCACGTTTATTACAAAACAAAACAAACACATCGTGTCATGGTCTGATTGGAATCAACAACTGAGCAATAGCATGCCTTCAAGTCAGAAATCGAACATCAAACACAGATATGCGAATTTATTCATATATAAACAGGGATGAGATCTAATGAAATCTGAGAATACGTATCTCCATCACAATTTTCTAGATTAAGAGTAGAATACAAGCAACGAGATCCATCCACATCGAAATCTTCAAAAAAAAAAAAAGAAAAAATCACCTGAATGAAGAACTGCGAACTGCGATAAGAAAATGGCTGTGACAAATGAAAGGAGAAGCTGAAGAAACCGGTTTTATTATAGCAAAAAACTGTTCAACGGATTTGCAAAAATGCCATTCTCGGCAATTTTCTAATTTAATCGAAACAGCCAACCTGTTCTTCTTTGTCCATTTTACTAACCAATTTTGTCCTCTTACGGTGTATGCAAATTGCTTATTAGTTTACCGCTTTAATTACTCCTCCTGATCATCTTGCTTTAGTTTAAAAAATATTATCACTTCTTTATCTTTGATGATTATTAACATTAACCAATTATGGCTATTAAAGTTTTCGTGCACTGTTTTTAGTTCATATCGTGTATAACACAGTAGAAAAAAGAATAAAATTTACGTAGAAAAAATCAAGATTTATTTAGTAGTATATTTTATTTTCAGAGTAAGTTGAGGAAGAAGATTGCTCAAGTTGATTTTGACCAGTGAGAAGATCACACGTAAGCGAGAATATCCTCCAATATTAGCTTTAGAGATACGGTGACAGGCGTCAACTTGGTCTGCTTACGTGTCAGACATTTATTCGCAGGTCGCAAGGCTGGAAGAAAGATTAGACTACAGAAAACACCAAGTTAGCGCCTAGTTTTGGCAACTCGAACTTTTTGAAAACAATAGTATCTTATAGTACACAATACCAAAAGTACCGAATTAAAAGTTGTAAAGCCGTAAATGGGTTTAGTTGATTTTAGAACAATGATGCAAGCCCCATAAGGAGGAGAGTGGGCTACAAGCCCATAAATGGATAATGGGCCAAAACCCCAATCTGAAGAACGTTTTTCCAAAGCACACAAGAAGAAAGGGGGTATTTACATGAATATCATCAGTTAACCAAAGGATGGATGGCAATGGAATGTGAGAGTCAAGTTTAGGAATCTGCGAGCGCAGGAACGTAGGGGCGGTGGGTGGGTGGAGCTGGACAGACGCGAAGGATAGAGCAGAGGTCGTTCTTTTCGAGAAACTTGTCCAGATCCGCAAGCATCAGAGGACCGTACTCGAAAACCATCTTCTTGCACTTGTCCTGGTAGTTGTTTAGAGATTTGCATTCCTTGAGAAGCAAGCGGATTATCTTGAGCTTTGTCTCGGGATCCTTCAGTTTTGTGACAGCTTCCGAGACCGTCTCGCGGCAAGACTCGCAGTTTCCTGGCGCCGTCGTCACTGCTTGACAGAGGTTAAGCCGTTTGCAGATCTGGTCTGGCTTGACTACCGAGACTTGTGTGAAGAGAAGCTCGGTATAATGATCTACCATTGAAAGACACTGTTTCTTCAAAGGAGGAATCTGAGAGCAGCTCGCGTGAAGCGCCTCGACGAGAGCACTCTGGTTGTCGTCATCTTGAAGGTAATCAATGGCCAGCGTGACATACTTATCACACACTTCACAAGCTTGAGATGATTCTGCAGAGATAACAATTCATGAATACAGGGCAAGCTAACTAGATTCCCCAACACAACAGTATGGCAACAAGTTCAACTGAAGCTTATCTTTTTTTAATTATCATAAGAAAGAAACGAATCTTACCGAATGGTCCGAGAAGAACGGGGTTTCTAGCATCACAAGACCAGGTCAACCCCAAGAGAAGGAGGAATACGACTCCAAATGTACCGCCCATGATGCCTGAAACTCTAACCATTTCTCAATTCGATTAGCCGATTCCGGATCTTACAATCAGAGTTCTGAATTGCTCCAATTGGGCAAATCTGGAACTTAGGTTTTGGCAGATACAATAGCACACAGATCGTAATCCGTAGAATCATCCAATAGAAAGAATGAAACAAGAAAGGAGAGATCAATAGCTTACACGACGAATACGGCAGAGATCTCTGCTCTGTTGATCGATCAATCAGCACCCGATCGATGGAGATGCCTGCCGCTTTATCGATGCGACGCTCTTCTTTTGTTTTTCTTCCTCTCGATTTTTATATTTCTTTATATACTACACGGCGCCCTCTCATTTGTCGTAACAGAATTATATGATTGGTTGTTTTTTCTTTTTATGTTTCCGCAACTATTTTTTATGCTTCTGTTTTTTTCCTTTGCTGTTAAAAGTAGGATAAATAATACAACACGTTAATTTACGGAGAGATGGCCTCATTTACCCATTTTTATTTGTTTTTGGTTTATGTTTTTTAAAAAAATCAAGTACAGTATGTGTTTCTTCCTTTTACTAGCTTATATGAATATTAATCTAGACCTTTTTTGTTTGTTTGTTTCTTCCTGCGGATTTGTATATTTGATCTTTCTGTAACATTTCCTCGCAAGGGTGGTAATAATGATGCTGCAGTTATGATCTTTTGGTTATGAATGTTGGAGCAGAGTAAAAAAAAAATATACAATTAGAGTGGGGACATGCATGCATGACATTGAAAGAAATGAATGCAGTGAGAATGGACCGGCCATGGGGATGAATGAGTATTAAGGAAAGCAATGACCGGTGGTGGTATGTGGAGCACATGTAAGCATGCATGGGTCGTGTGCCTCGTTTACTGCTTTCCTATTTTATTAGTATGAGTCATTGCATATTGTTTTCATCTATGGCCTCTCCTCATTAATGCTTCTCCTATAACCACAGCTTTCTTTTTTATATATCCAACGCTTGTTTGTGTATCAGTAATGTTCATTTATCCCCGATTTAGGTTATTGTAAATGCATCTTCTCATGGGCCAATCGTGATTCTCATTTATACAAATATCTTGCGTTATGCGCAACCATAAATATTCAAGTTCATGAATTCTCACATTCTAAGACCACAACAACATGTGAAAACTACTACTTTTCAATATATCATCTTTTTGATCATGAGTAAACGAAAAAAGTATTATAGTATTTTACCTAGTAAATTTATTAGCTGAATCTATAATATCTTGAAATTCTTAACGAAAACGCAAATTTGTTTTTCACATGTTTGTATGTGCCTAACACACAATAAAATTACTAGGCTTGTAGAAATTTGAAAAGAATACAAAATGTTGTTTATTTTTGTCGTTGAATGGCCAAAATTCTATTTTCGACCAAAAAAACTAAAAGAGTAGCAAAATTCTATATTTGATGCCATATTTTGTTTGTCACGGAACTCATAAACTACCATTTGTAAATTATATTATTTCCTTCTTTAGGTAAGAAACACGCAAACCATTGTTTGTATTCCCCCAATGATATTAAAGATGTAATGAAATCGTAACTCAACCTAATCTTCAACTTATGGAGCAAAACTCTTCAACCACTAGAGCACGGGTTAGTTTCGTGAGCGAGCATTTGCTTCGTGTCATTAAAGATGTATCTTTCTAACTATTAACCTCTCACATTTAAACTAGCATTTGATTTTCAGAGTTACGTTTTGTCTTTCATAATTCTTTACAAACAAGCGCAAAAGTAAGAAAAAACGTACCAAGGACACCCGGCACCATATATACTTCATAGATACCATATACTTATGTCTCATATGCACAAATCCACCCCTCTCTCTCTCTCTCTCTCTCACTCACATACACTCTCGCTAATCTCTCAGTACTCTCTCCAAGACAATAATGCCAAACGACGGATCCGAGCGTCCGGCATCACTGAGAAAGCAAGACACCGCCGCCTTCTCCGCCAAGCTACTGTCGACCAAACAGCGCTTCTCCTCGCCGGCGTCAGCTTGTCCTTCCTTTCGGATATACTACTACGACGGAGCCGCCGGTTCCATCCCTTTCGAATGGGAAACTCATCCAGGCACTCCCAAGCACCCCTCCTCCGAGCTCCCGCCACCACCGCCTCTCACTCCTCCGCCATCTCATTTCTCCTTTTCGGGCGAACAAATCCGCCGTGGTTCCAAAAAACCCATCAGGAAAATCCTCTCACTTATCCCCATCAGGCTCTTCTGGCTATCATCAGCTGGTCATAATAACAGTAACAAGGTCAAGAAACTGTCGGCTTCATCACCGTCTCTGTCGGAGAGGGTGCTGATCGATGATAATGAGTACCATATGTTCAAGTTTCAGACAGAAAGGAAGGTCATGCGAAGATTTTCATCCTTTGACTCTTCTGCTACTTCTATTGATCACTATCCCATTCGTAGATCACAATCCACCTCTTGCTTCGGAATTCGCAGATGTTTCATCTGGTAAATGTCAGTAGATAATTTGGAAAATAAAAAAACCTGGAATAATTTTATAAATGTTATTTCCCATGTATTTTGTATCCCATCGTATTGTTATTATATTTAATGAACCATGTCGGTAATAAGATGACTAGATAAAGCTATCATGCTTTTTTTCATTTTGTTTTCAAGTGTAATTGTGAGTTTGAACAACCCTTCTTTATGTTAATTTAGCTCTCTTCCAAGCAAAGACAACACATGCAATGGGGTTTGGTGGTTCTTTCTTCTACATTGATTTGTTTTTCTTTCGAATGTGATTGGTTTTCTACAATCTTATAGTCAAAATCGCAAAATCATTCGGTCATTTTAAAAGAAACAAATACTACTAGTATCACATCTTTTTGGAGTATTGTTGCACATATACTTAAAAACTTTATAATGTTCTGTTAGTTTCCGATGTTACTAATCAGATTATATCATAAATGATCGATATTTTTTTTTTTTTTTTTTGCGAAAAAAACGAAATTAAACACTGAAATTAAATGAGTAAAGGAAGTTATCTGGCTGACAAAAAAAAAAAAAAAAAGTCAATTGGAAATGTCGGCCGTTGCAATTGGAGCGTGTACTTCACTCGCTTGTCATGCGCGTAGAAGTTAAATTCCCCTCCAACAAATTAATATGAAGGCCGCCCTCGCTATCTAAGCTGCGAGGCCCATGGGTCCACGCGTAATTAAAAACTGCGTAGTTTGAAATTACTGATTAGTATTTTTTGGGGAATCAATATTTAATGTAAAAAGGGCTCTTTGGTCTCCAGTGAATCAAACCGACGGCGGAGAAAACGATGCGAGCCAGGTCATCGTCGCTTCGTAGATCATGCCACCATTCAATTAGCATGAGTTTTCTTAATCGCTTGTTTACAATCCGCAAGGATGATTTATCTTTGAAGAGGGATCACATATGGATTCAAGATGTGAGAATAGGGATCAAAGTCCTAAGAGGAGAGGATTTCCCTTTTGACATTCGTTCCAGAGAAAGTGAGAGATGGCAACAGTTTAGAGAAGAAGAAGACGAAGCAAACTGTGGAGGTTGGTAACAAACAGAGAGTAGTACTAGGTACTACTATTAGTACTAGGGGCCTGGAATAATCCTGACAACAACTTAAATACTATAATAGCTTTGACTATTGAGAAACAAACAAGTTTTAACCAAAGAGATATAGTAAAACGTATTTATCATGATAATATTCTTTGAAAGCACACAAGTATTTCAAACAGAAAGACAACACTATGTAGCTTGTTCGGTCTGCAAAGGCACTTCAGTGCAATGCATGAAATGATATACTCCATGTTGGATGATGGAGCAAGCTTTTTTTTGTTGGAACTTTTAATTGCATTAATTTACAATGAAGAAAGAAATGTGAGGATGCGTTTTTAGTACAAATGGAAGGAAATGATTGAGTAATTATGTAAATGGATTGAACCTCTTATCACATTTGCTTTATATTTAGGTAAAATAAAGAAAACAGAGAAATGTGAGGATACGTTTTCCTTAAATAAATTTAGTTAGCAGTAGTGTTGGTGGAAAAAAATAAGCAAAATCGTTAAAATCCAGGTGGGGAATAGAGAGAGAGGAAGAGAAGAAGGACAAAGCGCAAAAACAAAAAAAAAAACATTTTGCTTGATGGTCTCTCAATCTTCCGTTACCACCGTGGTTACCAATCACCGCTCCGACGGCGACTTCACCTCCACTGCCACTTCCACTGGAGGAGATGATGGCCGTAAGTCCAGGATTGACGAGGCCGCTAGCTATGGATGTGTCACGACGATTACTGCCACGAGCATGGCATACTTGCCCCACACTGTGGTGCTCTGCGAGCTTAGACATGGCGTTTCCGATGCGGCTGCGTCCTTCGATATCCTCCAATCCCCCAGATGGCGCCTTAGAGAGCGAGTGAGTTAGTCTTCATACTGCTGCTTTTTACTCTTTTGTTATTTGTTTGCAGATGAAAACAAGATGTGTTGCTCTGGTTTTGTGTTTGAACATTGGTGTTGATCCCCCGGATGTTATCAAGATTTCTCCATGCACAGGACTTGAATGCTGGATAGGTTCGCCCTTCTTATCCCACACCTTGGCTTTTGTTTTTGTATCTTTGTTTCCCGTAGGCCATTCATGTTTCCTCTGATCGCAGATCCCTTTTCTATGTTTCCCACAAGAGCTCTTGAGGCAATTGGCCAAAACTTGGGCATTCAGTACGAGACATGGCTGCCAAGGGTAAATCCCTAATCCCAGCACCTTTCCTTGTTGCTTTCTTCACTTTGCTCCCTCTTCATTTGTATCTTTTTTTTATTATTATTATATCAGGCTCTGTATAAGGTGGAATTGGATCCTACCAAGGACCATCTCCGGAAGCTGTGCTTGTCTTGTCGGAAAAACGCAAAGTCTGAGAGAGTTTTGTTTCACTATAATGGGCATGGTGTACCCAAACCTACACCCAACGGTGAACTCTGGGTATTCAATAAGGTGATTGCTTTCTTTCCACAGCCTCTTTGTCTCTTATTAGGGCACCTATTCATCATCTTGCGTGATCGCTTGCGCAGAATTTCACGCAGTACATTCCCTTGCCAGTCAGCGAGCTTGATTCTTGGCTGCAGACACCCTCCATTTATGTTTTTGACTGCTCTGCTGCTAGGGTCATTGTTAATGCCTTGGCAGAGGTACTCATATTATATAAAAAACCTCTTGGGTTTAGGCCTTGCTTCCACCATTATGATGATAAAGTTGTTTCACTCCTGACTGCAGCTTCATGATTGGGGCTCTTCTGGACCCTTGAAGGACCGCATCATTCTGGCCGCTTGCGATGCACACGAGACTCTTCCTCAGAGTGTTGAATTTCCAGCTGACGTTTTTACTTCTTGCCTCACCACACCTATTAAAATGGCATTGAAATGGTAACAATTCTCTTCTTAGACTCTTAACTTGTTGTACTACTTGGGTGGTTAGCATGTGCCTGTTGTAATAACCAGGATATATGGTTATTATCAGCTGCCGTGCTACTTTGCATAGGGGAAATTTGGATCTGCCTTTGTTCTATGTCCGTCTGGATCTGCGCAGTTTAGTTTAGTTTGGCTTTCAGCTTTCATAGTCTCTGTTCTTTGTAGGTTCTGCAGACGTTCTCTTCTCAAGGAAACTATAGATGAATCACTTATCGATAGAATCCCGGGCCGCCAAAATGACCGTAGAACATTGTTAGGAGAGCTAAACTGGATCTTCACTGCAGTCACAGACACCATTGCCTGGAATGTGCTTCCTCGCGGTACTTGCCAAACTTTACGCTCAAGGCGAAACTGTTGACAAAAAGCTCTTTCAAGGCCAAGTTTGACTTCTTGTTTGTTTTTCTCCATTCCTCATGAAGTTAGTTTTACCCCACAGAACTTTTCCAGAGATAATCCAGACAGGACTTGTTGGTCGCTAGCCTTTTCCGAAATTTCTTACATGCTGAGAGGATAATGCGGTCCGGGAATAGGATAATGCCACCCTATGCTACCTCCTACACACCAGCACCATATGTGGTATTAGACATTGTCCCTAATTTGCATTTTGATGTATTGTATGTGTGACCTCTGTATCTCAGCTAACCGCTACTGTTTCTCAGGGATGCATGGGATATGGCTGCTGAAATCTGCCTCTCCCAGCTTCCTCAGCTCTTTCTGGACCCCAACGCGGAGTTTCAGGTTTGTCTTGTCTATTAATTCCTTGTAATTGTATAATACGATATGATGTCGGTCTTACTGAGTATGTTTGTTACCCTCCTTTTTCTAGCCAAGTCCATTTTTTACTGAGCAAATGACAGCTTTTGAGGTCTGGCTTGATCATGGATCTGAGCATAAGAAGCCACCGGAGCAGTTGCCTATTGTTCTTCAGGTGCCACCTGAGCCCTAAATTTACTCCTCCTGTTTTGAGAGAGGGCCCCTCTTTTATGGTCCTACGAGAAAAGATCCATATCTACTTTTTTATATTACCTACACTGTTGCTTCCATAATTGACAGTATAAGGAGTAAACATTGGTATCTATATATCCCATCCATCTTATATTTATTTATATCTTACCATCTTAGCTTACTTGGAATCTGATTCATTTCAGGTTCTATGTAGCCAGTGCCATCGGTTTCGTGCTCTTGTTCTTCTTGAGATATTTCTTGATATGGGTCCTTGGGCTGTGGATCTGGTACCTCTAATGCCTTGATGTCCTGTTTTTCCCTTGTTATAGACGCCGTTTCTCTGTGTTATCCTCTGGGTATGTCCTTACGTTAAGTGAATATTTTTCTAGGCCTTATCCGTTGGAATATTTCCTAACGTAGTGAAGCAGCTGCAAACAACAACTATTGAGCTACGGCAGATTCTTGTTTTCATATGGACAAAGATTCTAGCACTTGATAAGGTACACCTTTGGTGTTAATTGAATAGTTTATTATGTATTTGCTTGTTAGTTTCGAGTTTCCTCAGCTAGTTCCATTTGTCGCTGTATAATTAAGGTGCCTCTGTTTTCTTGATATTGAGCGTGACCAAAATAAATAATTGTTGGTATTATAATTCGTAAGATAATTGCCAAACGCCATAAAATAGGTACTAACATTTCTATGTGCATCTTGCTTTCTATTCGTGGACGTTGGGACATGTTCCTTATCTTGGTCGTCGTACAGTCGTACTATTGTGTCACTTCACTTTCCTATTCATTCTTTGAATCTCCTAACGTTTTGAGGGATGTCTCTTTGTTTTTTAGTCATGTCAAGTTGATCTTGTGAAGGACAAGGGCCACATACATTTCATCAGATTTTTAGATAGTCCTGATGCATTCCCAGAACAACGTGCTATGGCTGCGTTTGTTTTGGCTGTTATTGTTGATGGCTACAAACGAGGCCAAGAATCATGTCTTGAAGCTAATTTAATTGGTGTTTGTCTGGGGCACCTCGAAGCACCCCAACTATGTGATCAATCACCAGAACCATTGTTTCTACAATGGCTTTGCCTTTGTCTTGGAAAGCTATGGGAGAATTTTATAGAGGCCCAGATTATGGGTAGAGAGGCTAATGCTTCTGAAAAGTTGATACCTCTGCTTTCCGAGGCCCAACCAGAGGTAGTGCTTCACCTGAAGCTTAGCTACCTTCTCAGAGTTTGCTTCCACAGTCAACTATTTACAATCGGAGCTGTGGTCACTTTTCTAAACCTCTTCTCGGGGGAGCAGATGGTAATGAAGAGATAACAGCCCAAAGAGAAGAGAAAGAAAGGTTTGCGTTTGAGCATATTGCAAAATGCCAGCATTCATGTAAGTAATTCGTCTGTGCTTATCTTGTGTCTTGTTCTATAGTTGCACTTGTTAATTGAACTGATATCACAACTTTTTTTGGTCCTCGGCCAGCAATAAGCGGGCTCAACAATATTCCCATTGCTAATTGGGATACAAAGTCTGAAGTGGGAACAAAGGCAGCACTGCTTCACCCTTTTTCTCCTATTGTAGTTGTTGCCGATGCAAATGAGCGGATCAGGTATGCAATTTTTTCACGGCTTAGCTAAAATTTGGACTTGTATTCGGGTTGGCCTCCGTAAGGCTCAATGCAAGTTAATGACTTACACAAAGTTACCATTTCTAAATGAATATGTCGGACCAGATTTGTGTATTTAGTTAGTGCCTTTTATTTTAAAGTGCTTCACCGTGAGATCGTTATTTTTACTCAAATGTTCCCATCTAGAAACTGCTCTTTGACACAATTGCCTCTGCTGGACTCTTAAGTTATGCTGTCTTCCCTGTCAGGGTGTGGAATTACGAGGAAGCAACTCTTGTTAATGGCTTTGACAATCACGATTTTCTGGACCAAGTAATTTCAAAGCTCTGCCTTGTCAATGAACTTGATGACTCTCTGCTACTTGTTGCTTCATGTAATGTTGACAATTCTTGTCAGAGTGTCTTTCGCATTTTAGTTATTGATCGATTAAGGCTGTTTAAAAGTCCTTACTGGTGGCTCTGAAATGTTGTGTAGGCGATGGGTCAGTCCGCATATGGAAAGACTACGCAACAAAGGGTAGACAAAGGCTTGTCACAGGGTTTTCTTCAATCCAGGGTCACAATCGCGGTGCTCCTGGCTTGAATGCTGTCGTGGACTGGCAACAGCAGTCAGGTTACCTGGTATATGGCGACTCCATTCACAACATGCAATATTTGATATTTTTGGAATTAGAAACCTGGTTTACTCTGTATTTGACGCAATATTTTGTGTTTACAGTATGCTTGTGGGGAATCGTCATCAATCATGGTTTGGGACCTGGAGAAAGAACAAGTCGTCAAATCTGCGTCCTCTGAAACAGAATGCAGCGTCACAGCCCTCGTACGTTAGCATTTTTCAAGCTTGTATATATGTTTCGAAATCCGGGTCATCTTTTGGCTATATGAAGACAGGATCTCCAGACTGATGAAATATAATTTAGTTGATGAGTCTCGTTTTGTGTGTGTGTGCGTGTATTTGCAGTCGGCTTCTCAAGTGCACGGGGGCAAAGTTGCAGCTGGTTTCGCAGATGGATCTGTAAGACTCTATGATGTCCGGACACCTGAATGGTAAGTTAATCTACAGAGCTTTGTTTAGTTGTTGTCATCTTTGGATATAAACTCTGTCGCTCTGCTTTCAAATTGTGATAAAGATTAGTTTCGATATGTCACTCGTAAAATGTGTAGGCTTGTGTGCGCCACTCGACCTCATCAGAGAGCAGAAAAAGTAGTTGGACTCAGCTTTCAGCCTGGACTGGACCCGGCAAAGGTTTGCAGATAACCCAGTCCCTGGTTCTCGTAGTCAATGAGTAGATAAGGGAGCATAATTACACTAACTTGATTGCTGTGTCTATCGTCAGATTGTGAGTGCGTCGCAAGCAGGTGACATAAAGTTTCTGGATGTGAGACGAACGAAGGAGACATACCTGACGATAAACGCGCACAGAGGATCTCTGACAGCAATGGGTGTTCATAGGCACGCTCCAATAATAGCGAGCGGGTCAGGGAGACAGCTGATAAAAGTGTTCAACCTTGAGGGAGAACAGCTTGGGATCATAAAGTACCAAACATCCTTCATGGCCCAAAAGATTGGCCCAGTCAGTTCCCTAACCTTTCACCCTTACCAGGTCTTGCTAGCCGCAGGGGCTGCTGGCTCCCTTGTCTCCTTATACAGCCACCACAAAGATGAGGACAAGTAGAGTAACTTGGAAAAAGGAAACTGGGTGTTTTATTTATATAGATTTCATTAGTTAGCCTCCGATGAAAAGATGCAAAGCAAACACTAGTAATTGAGGAGGCTCTGCCAAAATATATACTGTATGTGGGTCTCTCTATTTGACGCATTGTAAATAACTGCTTTGTAAATAGCTCTCTTTACTGCGTGTGTGTGTGTTCTTTTACATGGTTCTGTGATCTTATGATTTGTCTCTTGATTCATATTGTCTTGTAAAGAAAACAACTAAGGATTACTAAGAAGCAAATGGAGGATTACTCTGCCCTTGTTGATCTCTGTTTACAAGAAATCATTTAGTCTAATATTCATTGGCCAAAACAAACCGTTCGTGTACCTAAAGAATGATTGTTACCGCCTTCAGTTTCATTAATCTAACAAGGCAACAAATGTCGTCATTTGCTACTCCGAACGCCTCCATCTCCGTCGCTCCAGAAGACATTCAGATCTTCAAACAATTTGTAGGGAGGAACATAGGGCGGCCTCTGCGGCTGCCCGTCCACGGCAGGCCTGGATGGTCCCGCCGCTCTAGCTGGGAAGGAGTTTGAGTAGTGCAAGTTTCTCTCAACACTGCCTCCTTGGCTCCAAAACGTACTGTTTGCTTGACCACCGTTACATTGTGGCTGAGGATAACCGTATGAAAACTGCTGCTGCGCCTGAAACTGAGGTCCCGGTGGAGGAGCCACTTGCGGTTCTTCCTGAGATTGTTGGGCCCAGGGCACTACGTAGCTGTTCACAAGAATATGATCATCTGCGAAAAGCGTTTTGCTTGATGGAGACTGCGTTTGTGGAGAGGGCAAAGCTGTTGTTGACAGAGTGAGGCTGAGAAGTTCAATAATGTCCTGCTCTGACTTTGTTGTTGTTGTTGTTGTTGTTGCGGTGGTCTCGAATAAAGAAGCTACGACATCTTTGCACTCTGTCTTGGCCTCTGTTTCTGCTGTCTTTTCGTTGCTGTGGCCTAGAAGCAATGTTTCCTCTTCTTCATCGCTGTGTTGGGCGTTCAATAGAGCGTGCCTGCAAGTTCCTTGACCATGTCTATAAAACTATCTTGTCACCCGCAAATACACACTAGTAGGTGTTTTGACTAACCTTTTGGCTAAATGCATAAAGTCATTTTCAACTTGCTCCCCCTCATCTGTATCACTTTCACTGCTCGACGATGAAGAAAAAGGCTCAGAGACAAGAGCAGCAGCATCACCAGTTTCTTTTGCTTTCGGGGGCTGCTGCAACATGGGAAGAGAGACACCAGAGGCAATAGCGTCGTGCCTGGCGAGCACTACCTGCAAAGAGTCATTGAGCTCGAGGCCACGTGCCATGACATCCTCGTCCCTGACAAGAAGAAGAAGAAGAAGAAGAAGAGATGTGTTAGTTGTTGCCCTGAGATGAATGGTCAAGGAAGGAGGAGTGGGGACAGACGCAGTTGTTGTGAGCATCTGGATGAGTTTCTTCTGGTTAGATCTGCACTGCTCTACTAGATCAACTATGAGCTCGTCTTTTAGGGCCTGTGAAGGAAACCAGAGATGACTAGTTAGGCCCTTTTTTTTTTTAATTATTTGTTCTTCAGACAGAGAGACATGGTGAAAAAGATGTGATTCCGCAATTACTGATTTGTCAGACGGATCCACGGCTTGAACCATGTCATTCACGAGATCCATCACATTTCTCATGGATTCAAGACTTGATAAGCTGATGAGAAAGAAGAAGACAAATGTCAAAAAAAAAAAAAAAAAAAAAGGAAAAGATAAGGAGAGTGTTGAGGAAAAGAGATGACCTTAGAGACTCAATTTCAGCTGCCATAGTTTCGTCGAGCCTTCGAGAAGAACCGATGGAGATTGAAGGAGGAGGAGGAAGCATGAGTGGGGCTTCTTTTGAACGTTGTGGGAATTTCACCCCACACCGCTGCAAAACAAAACCAATGAATCAATAATAATAAAGATAGAATGAAACTGTGAAAGCTGAGATCAAATTTGATGATAGGTTACTTGAAGCTCTTGGCATGCCCACTTGTAATGAGGGTATTTGCGAGCAACCCCACTGAAGGCTTCATTCCAAGTATCCAACAATATCAAGATTCTGTTCCTTACTTCGAAATCACCCTTTTTGACACCACACAATGATTATATTATTATTCTCTTATATATATAGAATCCAAAAAAAGAGCAAAAAGTAGAATGCAATCATCACCTTCTTCCTGACAATTTTAACCAGATCTTCAAGGACGTGTTTCTCAGCGATATGCGAATGCAAAAACTCCCCACAGTTTTTCAGCATTGCCTCCAACAACTAAAGATGAAATGCAAATATTATTCTTATTATTTTATCATAGTTACAGTTTTACAAAGCCTTACAATAATAAATCATATTTACCGTTAGAGTGAGTAACTGAACTCTAGAGCTCTTGTGCTGTAATCTTCTCTTTACAGCTTTCATCGCGTCTTTGCATTGCCTGTCATATACGTATTATTATAAGTACTTAAGAAATTTCACATTCAAAAAACGCGGTCGTTTCAATAAATATTACCAGCGATTCGAATTGACGGAATCGCAGATTGCGATGATAATCGTCCAATCAGGAGTGAGGAGAAGCTCGCTCGTGGCCTTGTCCACCGCCACTCCCAGCGACGACACCGTCAACGAAGAGGATGACGAGGAAGAAGAAGAAGAAGGCCTCATTTCTCGATCCACACCAATACCGTTTTCCAGGGAATATACATTAAGTTCATTTCCCGCCATATATATAAAAGCAAACTCATCAGAGAGAGAGAGAGAGAGAGAGAGAGAGAGAGAGCTTTCTCCGACCAATTCGTGTTTCCGTTCACTTTCTCACTTCTTCGCCACGTTTCCCTCGTCTTCTCAGTATTACCCGGTCCCACTACAGCCACGTGGACTTGTCTTCTTTTTGTCTTTTGGAATTAATTTTCTTCAATCTAGATGGGCCGTCCAAGTCATCTACATGGGCTTCATAAACGCGTTTTTCTTTATTTCTTTTCAGCGTTTAAGTTGACGTTACGAATTTTTAAAATATATATTAAAAATTAACATTACCCAAGTTCATATCCACTAGTTATTAAAATAATTAAAACATAAACAAGATGAGAGTCACGCATATTAAATTATTGTTACAACTGAAAAAAAAAAAAAAATGACACAACAAGGATACATTCCAACAGTAGTGCAACATATCAACAACAGTTAATAAAATAGTTACAAAACCCAAAAGCATAGCTAATAATAATACAGTGGTAAATTGGAAACGCAAAGGAGAGACATTGCACGGACGTGAGCATCAGATGATCAGCTGGCGTTGCGGTCTTCTCGGTTGACATCATCGAGAATGACGACGAGAGAGGCAATGAAAGCATAATCCACATTTGGATAAACCGTCACCGAGAAATTGTCCTTTCCCAAGAACACGCTCTGTACCGTGTGCCTCCTGTGCATCTGTAATTACAACAAAACCATACATTTATACTCCATTCTAATCACCCTCCTTAATTTCTACTAATTTCTGATTAAATGAGTGGTAGACATGTGGCCGGGCCCACCTCGAACACGAATCAATGTGGAAAAGGGAAAGAGGCTACTTACTTGGGCAACAATGGCGTCAGACTCGCCGGCGTAGACGACACAGGAACGCTCCAACCAGCTCCCTTTGACTCGGAAATCGCATCTCTTCTCATCCTTATTGTGGCTCAAAAACACATCAAGTTTCGTCTTAAACTGAAGCATCGACGATCGCTTCACCGTGTACAGCAGATCACGCTGCTCCGTACTCCCGCCTCTGAATACTTGCCACCTGTCATGCAAGCTCACCATCTGCAAATATATAGTATATAAAAGTTAAAAAAAGTTTAACAATAAACTAAATAACCAAGCCGACTATGCTTTACGAACTAAGCCGTGTGTGCGACCTTCTCTCTCAAAGTCAAGACCGGAGATCCAGAACCATCCAATAAGATCCTCTTGTCGTGAAGACCAAACACCGGTTCCTTCACCTTGAACAACAGGTTTCCGTTCACGTCCGTTATAACGAAGTTACCGTCCGTTAACTTCATCATCTTCCGCACTATCGCCAGATCCACGGGGTACGGAGCGCAGAACCGTGGATCCACGATCACTCCGGCGACCCCACCGCCTTGTGGAGGCGGAGGAGCCGAAGGTCCCGTGCCTGGTGGGTAGGCGTACACATAAGGTTGCTCCATTTTCTTCTTTCTCCTTAAAAATGGTATTTTTGTATATGCTCTCTCTATTTTGTTTATTTTCTTTCTTTTTCCTCTCTCTCTCTCTCTCTTTCTTTTTCTTGGGTGAATTTGTTTTCGTCTGATTATGCCGAGGAGATAAGTTCAGTCAGCTCCTGGTTTTATAGATAATATAAATATCTGGATCGAATATGTTGACTTTGAACCTTTTTTTTTAGTTGAAAAGTCTACTACGCGCATACTTTTTTTTAGAAAACAAGATTCGAAGATAAAGTTTTTTAAAAAAATAATTAAATGTTGAAGTAAATGAATGTGTCAGATTTTTTAATTGTTCACTCACGTCTTGTCGACAATCTTTATAAAGAAAAAAAAAAAAAAACCAAAGACGACAAAAAAAAAGAAGAAGAAGCAGATATATAAAAATTTGTTCCTTGAAATTCAACACGGTTGAAAAATGACGAGGCGTGATGTGTAAGACCTTAACACGGAAACAGATTACTCAATGAACACGTTTGGGAACATTCGTAATCGTACCACAACCCTCGGTATGCCGCCAATGGTCGCCTGATACAGTTTTGCCATTACCCAAATAACGAAGATGAGCCTCAAATAACGAAGATGAGCCTCAGACCTAATCTTCTTATTAATGATTTGGAATCCTAATCTACGAGTGAATTCGCGTTTACAAAATCCAATATCAATTTTTTTACGTATCAAGTCCAAATATATATTCATAGCCCCTTTGTCGAATTGAAATACCACTTGTGTAGTGATTACTAAATCAAAATCTACAATGTTCACTGTTCACATGAATTAAGGCCCAACAACTATTCAAATTAGGTCTACTAACTATTTAATACTGTCGTCATTATTAGTGAAGCCCTTCGAAGATATATTATATTGGCCCAATAACGAAGATGTTTATAAACATGTGTTTCTTTTTATTCGGCGACATACAATTTTAAAAAAAAACAATATTTGGTAAGATTTAGAGGATTAAGCTCCCCCAATTTTATTAAAAATAAAACAATCTAAAATGTAAATATTATATATATATATAATCTGAATTATTTAATTGTCAGATTGCATTTGGTTATGAAAAGGAGAGTGAGTTACATATACTGAAACGAATGTTCGATGAATATATACGCAGTGTAGTGAAATAACTTTTTAAAAATATTCATTCTTTTTCAACAACACAACTTACTAAATCGTAATGTTAAAAAAAAAAAAAAAAAAAAACTTACTAAAGCGAATGAACTTTCGTTATTTAGAAAGTACCAAAAAAGTAGTATTTGGCAGAAGAAATTTGTAGTTTTTTTAGCTGAAATACCTCTGGACCGGAGTTTATAGCATAGTATAATCTAGATTCAAACTGTTATTGTTAATGTTAATGCATACAGTATTAAATTATAATTTTTTTTATACCATCCGGTCATTATATAAATGTTATTGTTAATGTATACAAACGCGCGCGTGACGAAACCATAAACGAGCAAACAAGGTGGGCAGCGGGTTTATTCTTAAAAAAATCAACGCATGCGCCACTAATTATTTTAATTAATCATCTTTGCTCTATGATGATAGCATACATTCATTGTTTATATTAACTTCCTCGCCGACACATTAGTTTATTAGGCCAGAAATATCGCCCATATTATAAATATTTATAATATACACAAACGAAAAATTAGAACGAAAGTAAAAAAATATAGATATATATCTTAATTTTTTCGTATTGTAAATAAAGTTAAAATGATTATATCATTTGTAATATTGTTTGATTTATGGGTAATATATTTTGAATCTCATGATTCATACATAGTCTCACATAGGCTCAGAAGAATATATATATATATATATATATATATACTAATCAGTCTTTGAATCAGATCGCATATACAATACTCGTTAATGACATGAAAATACTTGCGATTGTGATGGCATTAGTGTCTAACGAACATCTATATATGTGGTTAAAGACTATATATATTAGCGACTGTAGTTAATCAAGAATTCAAGATGCGTGATGATTCAATATAACTTTGTTAGACATACCTGATAATATTTCCAATAGACTAAGCTTCCCTTGCGTGGGTATGCAATAGGTTTCTTTTACGGGGAATTTACTTCCTCTAACTACGCTTCTCGTACACACAAATAGTTATAGACACACACACACACGTATATATGTGTTTGTGGATATAAATATATTTCTACGTGCGTCAATATATATATATATATATGACTAACACTGGGATCATCATCATCAAGGTGAAGTGGTCATGATGGGGAAGATGGGCACATGAAGAACTAACTCAATTATCATCACTCTCTGATCCGCTCACATCTATATATCCCATATATACATGCATTTAGGGAGAGTGGATGTATATGTAGATGCAAAGAGATGAGCTAGTAATGCACGTGCCCTGCTTCTCCATCTTGCTCAGCACACACCTTCGTCATTCACTCCTATCATGACCAAGGAGAGAGAGAGAGAGAGAGAGAGAGAGAGAGAGAGAGAGAGAGAGAGAGAGAGAGAGAGAGAGAGAGAGAGAGAGAGAGAGAGAGAGAGAGAGAAGGGAGAGAGAGAGAGAGAGAGAGAGAGAGAGGGAGAGCGAAAGGGAGAGATAGAGAGAGAGAGAGGAGGTTCGAGAGACAGGTTGAGTCAACTTAATGTACTAATTCTCATTTATAGCAAATGGAAATATTATTTTATTTTTAATTACCCATCAGTATTCTATTTAACTCAATTAGGATATGATTTTATTTATGTTATGTGTGTGAAAAATATACTTTTTTTGTTTTCATGTAAGCTATATACATGCATGACACTAGGTTTTCGTTTATATACGACCTACATGTCACTAGATCTCTCTTTAATTTATTTTTGCTGGTTATAAAGATTTCTCTTTACCTATAGTGCAAATCTTGTAGGTTCTTTTAAAACGTGATTCCAACATTGATAATTCACCATTTACTTTTTTCGTGATTCTAATTAGCAGATAACACCATTTATTTGAATTGCTTACAAGAAAACCTAAAACCACATCAAAAAGATAATGGAGACAGCATGCTGACCCATGAACATGCGACCCAAAACCCCTAAGTGTATGTGTACACACACACACATTTTTGTAATAATGTGTTCTGAGGACCACAAGACCGCACCTGTATATCCGTCGGTATTTTATTTTTTTAAGTAAGCACATCAATTACTATACGAGGTTTCTTTTCACAAATACATGTTTAGTAGCTCATTGTTTGATAAAAGATGAGGTGAAAATTGGAATTAGGTAGGAGATTTTAATTTTTCCATATATACAGAGAAATGTTTCTGGTGAAATCATTAAAGAGTACCATCCGACAGCTCAATGACTTTTCTTTTTCGACATTAAGGTAGGACTTGAGAGAAATCATGCTGTCGTAATTATTACTTATATCAAATCCATTATCTTTTGCTTTATCTAATTTACCTAGCCAATCACATTTTTCTTTTGCAAATTCAACGCTAATATTCTAATTTGATTGGTATAGTATCTTTCAAAATAAAACATTATTTTTTACCATCTTTAATCGATTTCATTGCCTCTGTTTATATTTGATCCAAAACAGTTTTTTTTTTTTTTGTATCGACATGATGAAAGCAAGTTTTCGGGAATAAACACAGGAGTGAATTGTAAACAAACGAGGAACATATTTTGAACCGACTTTGCTGTTTTTTCTTTCTTGCATATATCAAAGCGAAATTTTTTTTTTTGTATATCATACACAGCAGTTATTTTTCAGAGTATTTGTTTACGTCAAAACTGTTTTCTTGCGTTATATTTGTTTACCCTCAGCTACCGTTGTTTGTTGAATACATTTAATTCGATTCTAAGTTCTAACTGTATAACATTACGTACGTTGGGACCATATTAAATATCTGTTGGTGGCTTGTACCACATATACTGAAAGATATATGTTTGTGTAGGTTTCTGTAATGTTCAAAAAAAAAAAAAAAAAATCACTCCGTCATCTACGGATGATCGTGTATGAGAATCGATCGATATATGCAACATAAACCAATTTGGTAAATATGAAACATTAGTGCTGTGTATTATGAGGACATTCCATTACAACGTTCACATCAGATTCTTCTTATAAAAACCGTAAGCTATTTAAACAAATGCATGTCGTCAATATATATAATTTTAATAATTATTTCAGTTTTTTTTGCAATAACTGTTGTGAATATTATTGTCAAGTACATTTCGGTTAGTCTTATTTTATATAAAGATGGATTCTAATTTCTACTCTTTTTTTTTTGTTGACAACCAGAAATTTCTACCATGATAACGTAGGGGGAAAATGGTGAATGTTGGTGAGGAGTGATAAACGACAATGTGGGACTCAAAATTGCCCACCCCTAATAAAAAGTCGTAATCAAAGTCCACTTCTAAGTTCTTAGGTCCTATCTCTTGGAATCATTGAGATGCTTCTCTTGTCTTCAAACAGTTTTTTTGGGTACTTTCCCCCTCCCTCTTTTCTTAAGTGTTTACCCTTAATTTCAATGTTTTCTCTTGAATATACGACTTTCAAATTGAAGGTCATTCACCATTCATAACTTGTACAAGTCATGTCAACTTTCTACCATTTTCCCTCAAAATGTTAAAGTATACATGTTTTAAATACTTGCCCCGCAAAAAAAAAAAAAGTTTACTCTAACTGCTGCAACCAAAAAAGAATGTTAACATAAATCTTTCTATTATTCATATTAGATAAAATTTGTTACTGTGCAGTACTCCCAATTTATTTCAGTAGTCGTAATTACTTGGAGCTGTACACACGTAGGCTCTACTATTCTTATTTATGTTCGACGGATCTAAGCCAATTATTTAATGTTTCGACCAAACCATAATCAAAACAACAAAAATATATGGTAGAAGTACAAGCTTAACAAAAATATGTATTACTCTACTTTGAGAATAGCCGTTAACATCTCGATCATGTCTATTCTC